CATTAAGTTTTGCAGTGGGGAAGGACTAGAAAGGAACACAGAAACCATTCGTGCTAGTCCACCCTCCCACCCATCCCACCCCAGGGAAGGACATCCATCACACAGTAATCTCGTGTGTGGGAAATTAACGTCTCCTACCCCAACCCTGCAGGAGACGGGACCTCCATTTATTCGTCCCTATCCGAGAAGACAAACAGCGTGCTCTCCTAAATAAATAACCATAACTGGTTCAGATTTCAATAGCCTGTTTACATATTCTTTTTTTTTTTCTTAGCAATGATTGTTCATGGAGCGAAATAATGGCCGCTGGCTAAATAACAGGCGAGAGCGAAATGACGAAAGCGCATACAAAGGAGCTTTGTGCCCGGAGGTAGCGCTTATCTTCGTGCACTCGCTTCGCTTGCCGAGAAAAAGGAAACAAGTAACAAAATTGATCAATGAACGTTAAAAAAAAAAAAACAAAACAAAACAAAAGAAAACCGAGAGAAAAGAAAAACATCGGTTAAGCACATCAATGATGTATATCGTACCTTCCTTCGCCTGACGTTCATTAATTTTTGGTTGACTTCGCATTTAATAGCAAATTTGAAATTTGCCCAGGCTTGTTCCCAGAAGGCTTTTCAAAATTAGCGATCGAAGGGAGGAGAAGGGGATCAGTGTTACACATTGAGTTTTGTGAGAAAATTCGATTTGAAATGTTCTTAAAAATTGACCAATAGCTCTGAGGAGTTGTTGAAACCTGCATCGATTATGTAAAGCAGTCAAACGTTTCGAACCAAGTGGCTTGAGTTCCTTTTCAGATGCTTATAGTCATCACGTACTTTCCGATTTTCGCTCATGAGCACAGATGAAGCCCTTCAATTTACAAAGAAACATCTATTCCAGCCGATAAAAAGGATAATTACAGAGATATTAACATCCTCCTAACGCACATAGCTGGTGAAAGTTCATCTAAGATGATGCACAGAAACGTGACTTATTTTGTTATGGTAATAGTAAAAAGATCTAGAATGTTCATTTATTCTTTCCTTGCCAGGTTGAAATTTTTAATAAGCACTGCACTGTTAATTGTTATTGATTTAGCATTGTGACACCAATGTATGGCAGAAATGGGCTGAAAAGGCCATGGAATTTCCTGATTGAAATTGCGTTTTGTTATTTGTCTACTTAGAGTACTCTTGCGCCATTTTGCATAACAACTGGTGTAATCTCTGACGTTGCTATTGTCATCAGGAGAATATGAATACATTTGTGCCTTAAAAAGGAAAACTCTTATGTTCCCACGGTCAAGTTCTTTCACGAACCTAACAACACACGGAGTCAAAATTTACATAAACAAGTTTTTGGCAGGAGTTTGACCTGAGGTAGAAAGTGGCTTGTTATATCTACGAAACCTCAAAGGTTTGTCAAATATTTTGATCAAGTAATTAGTTGCGACTACGCCTACAAAATACGATCAAAACCAAAATCTTTACGGTGCAAAAGACATCTTTTGCAAAGTTCAAAGCTAGTAAGTTTATTTGGTCGAACGATTCTGTCTTCAAGCGCATTATGCACTGATTAATTAAACGGGATATCACATCTCACAAAATGATTAGGTCACTATGATGGAAGTTGTATTTATTCATACAAATGTTGAGTGACAAAAGATCAGTGCCTTTTATCGTCGAACTCGAACCCAACAGGCTTCATATTTGCAACCTAACAAACTTTTCGCGTATTCAGCTTTAACTAAGAGGGGTTTGAAATAGCCAATGTATCTTTCAGTGTTAAATACAAACGTTTTCCTCCTAACGTCTGGTAAACAATGATAGAGAAAGCTGTGATTAAACTTGACCGGTATTGTGCAATCACTTTAAGAAATAATATATTTCAAAGGTAATGAACGTGACTATGTACGTCAGCTGTCTTAGTGAAGGGATCAAAAATTCTTCTAAATTAGAGATTGAAATTTTGAAGGCAAAGTCTGTGTCACCATATTCATTAAAAATTAATTTTTTTCTTACATTCTCTGCACATCAGTCGAACCAAAGCCGCAAATAATATCCACCCTACCAAGTAGTTAATCGCCAAATCTGGGATTTTGTTCATTTATTGGAGATTTAAATAACTCGGTTTATAAACAGAATAAAATTGAGGTTGAGCCTTATTGAAGCTCTGTTTCTTCAACGTGTTATTTCGAATTGATCAAGATTTTACCGTCATGATCAAGAAAGTTCTTCGAAACGTTTTAAATACAGTTAGTCAGATCAGTCAGACTTTTGTTGTTATCCTTTTGTTGTGAAGTGGTCCCTGAAACACTTTGGTTTCCATGGTTCATTTGTATGATAATCAATACTTGAATTGTCTTTGTCAAAAAAATTTCTGTCATGCATGAGTGTACCGGCCTTGCGTCTAACAACCAGTTTTCTGTTATTGCTGCAATAAATGGCCGACAGAATACCCGCTGCGCGTTGAATTTATCATTCTTGTACATTTTAAAATTACATCGCACACGTTATACATCGTAACAATCCGAGAGGTGTCAGCTTGTTGTGAAGACGGATAACGTGTACAGCTATGAAGTCTCTTTAAATTAATTTTATGAAAAGAAATCTCGGAAAATTTGACAAATTCAGCCATTTTTAATTATCAGTCTGGTCGTCAGTGTTCAGGGATAACAACGGCGATGAAAATAAGAATATAAACTGTATGGCATTTTTTTATTTTCTTTTTTGTTGTTAACCTAGACTGTTAATCCCTCGTTTTGATTCTATTTAGCTGTTTTTAAATCTATTCATAGCATAGTAACTGATTTTAACAGTGCCATACTGTCAAACCTGTGTTGAACGGCACGGTATTTAGAAGCGGTCGCACAGAATTTTGCAGTCGCATGCCCAAGTGCCGAATTTCTTTTCCCTTAATCGCTGTAATTTTCACCTCTATTAAGCGGTGACCTCTATTAAATGGTTATTCCAGGTTCGACTGCAATTGTTTTTAATATTACTTTTATTTTCAGTGTTATCATGATTTTTTTTATTAATATTGTTATTAACATTTTTCCCTTTAAGGCTTGAACTAAGAATGACTGATCTTATCTTGGTGTTCGGTGTTTTAGCGCTCGCACCGCCCCTTGTAATAGGTAAGCAAAACAAATATACAGATACGAAAACAATAGGAAAATCAGCTGCGTTTTTACAACATTGAAATAAATTTTTTGATCCAAAGTGGTTCATTGCCGGAACCGTTTTACGTCTGCTTTCGATGATATTGGCGTTTTTCAGTTTTCGTAACGGTTTCTTTCTTGCAGGAGCTTCCAAGCCATTACCCACAGTATACATCCAAATGGATCTTAAATACACGTGGTCTGAGTTTTGTCTTTTAGAAACCTATTTCAAGACAAAAATGGCCGATTTAGTGCTGGACCAATACGGCCACTACCTCAACGTCTCGCAGATATACTTAAACAATTTTGACGAAAACTGTCCTCCGAAGAACAACGTCGACAAAGCTTCGATTAAGTTTTACATCATTAAGTCGGGCGGAACCTACGATGCAGTCGATAAAAATGCGACCATAAAAGCGTTCGAGACTCTTCATTATTTAACTGAAAATAATCTTGGAGTACTTGTTGGACCGCTTTTTCAGCGAAAGGTAGGTTTTATTATACATGATTATTATTATTATTATTATTATTATTATTATTATTATTATCATCATCTTATTAGAAGTTTTGTTGTGTAGCATCGCAGAGTATTTTTTACGAGTTGTGCCGTTTTCTAACGAGCCAGTAGGGCGAGTCAAAATAAAGAAAAACACAGGGTATTCAAATTAAAGAGCGAGGCTTCACCGAAACATTTTTATTTATTTAAAGGCTTCCACGTTAACCTTGAAACATTTTTAAAATTAGTATTTGTCACGATCTGACGACTGGCAATTGAAATGGGAAAAATGCGCACGTACACGTTGGAATGAACAACACTGCTGGTATGGTAAACACACCGTGCGAGATGAATGAAAATAGTGAGGATATTCTCTTTAAAACACTCAGAAATCTTACTGAAAGTATTGTTCATAACGAACAATTTTTTTTAAATAAATGGGAGTCACAGTGACTAAGGTAATTGCTAACTGAAAATACCTCTCGTTTTAACTTTAAAAGTTATTTTTTGTGAAAGATTATTAAATTACAAGTAGTTTTCAGGTAGCGTGTCAATACTTTAAAAACTAATGTAATGTAATAAAATGAGAAATAAGAAAGAAAAGTCACGTTTTCAAGGAATTGGAAGTTTCTTATTCTGACTTGAAAATATAGAGGAGGACTTTTAATAGCAGAATTTCATTTTGTGCTCGTATGGCTGCATGTGCTCGTAGGTGCCTTGTATGTGAATGTGCCCGTATGTGAATGTGCCCGTATGTGAATGTGCCCGTATCGCATCCTGTTTAGGCTGAAATTGACTCCAGTCTAGGCTATCAAGGAGTGGAAATATTTGGCTTTCGGTCAGAGGGCACAGATCACGCGCCTCGAGCTAAGGGGGTATTCTCCCGTCCGGCCGTCCAACGTATGCGTAGGCGTGTATGTATGCGTAAGCGCATGCCTACGCCTATGCGTATGCGTATGTGTGTATGCGCTCGCGTATGCGCTTGCGTTGGCATGTATGAGTCTGCCTTTTTGTTAACGTGTATGTATTTGCGTGTATGCATGTAGGCGTGTATGCGTATGCATTAACGTTTTTGTTTGCGTGCATGCGTTTACGTGCATGCGTTTGCGTGTATGCGTTTGGATGTATGTGTGCTTGTGTATACGCGTATGCGTGTATGCGTTTACGTTAACGTTTTCGCGTGTGTGTATGCGTGTAAGCATTTGCGTTTGCATGTGCGTGTATGCGTATGCGCGTATTCGTTTGCGTATATGTGTTTGCGTGTATGAGTTTGCATATTTGTTTGCGTTTGCGTGTGTGTTTGTGCATGCGTTTGCTTTTTTGTAGCATTTGCGTGTATGCTGTGTTATGCTGTGCCTCATAAAAACGCGCAAGTTTTTGTGACGTGACATTTAGAAAATAAACTGCTCGAGGCGAGTGTTTTATGAGTGAACGATAGTCAAATTCACAGAAGCAAGAAGATTGCTCTGAATGACGGCGCCGTAAAAGTTGGCTGCCGTGACTGGAGTGGCCTTCCACTCAACGCATCGGAAAGTATATCAGAGCAAGCTCTTAGTTCAGTTCACTCGAGGGGCGGCCGATGTAATTTCTGGGGCTTGCTTCACTGCAATGACCGAAATCGCCATGATAAGCTAGCCGCGATGGACCTCAGCATGACTGCAGTCACTCTGACATCGTTATGGTTTTGTATGAATTTNTATATATATATATATATAGTCGTTAGTGGAACTCTCAGGCCAACAAAGGTGCACCGCGCCAGGAGGATCAATAACGATTCGCAGTCCAAACCTCACTGCAAACGCGAACGTAGAAAGTTTAAAAGTTGCGAGGATGGACAACTTCTGACGTAAAAAATATAAAAAGTTTTATAAAAACACGTTTCGGTCAGAGACCTTCAGTTATTTACAACTTTTGAAATAAAAAAAGAGCCTTAAATATAACGACTAATGAACTGGTGCTAATAAAAGATAACAAAAAAACCTAATTACAAAGAAAGCAATGGACAAAATACAAGAAACAAACCCTGAAAACTAAGGGATAAGAATACTAAATATGTTAAAATGAGTGGCGTAACCAATTGCAAAGAAGCAATGCGGCAAGCATTAAAAAAGGGAGGCCCACTTTTTACTACAACTGTAGTAAAAAGTAATAATTTCGTTGTAGTAATAATTTCCTTCTTTCACATTTGTATTTTGCTCTGCACGTTTCTGCATCGAGCACTCCAAGGATAAGTGAAACAACTTTATTTCTTGATAATTCSTTTATATATATATAACTGCAGACAGTACTTTTTCGGCTTTCTGGGCCTCATCAGTGCAGTGCTAATGCTAGGATGGGGGAGAACTGACATGGATCCCCAAACTATCCCACACTTGTGGTATCGTCTAAGCCATGCCAGAGTGCTCAAACTAGAAGAGCTTAGTGAGCTCTGCACAATGCTAGCGGCAATGACTCATCCCACAGTGCTCAATTTGGACATGAAAGCAGAACTTTATATGCCAAAGAGCTTTATCTAATATATATGTATGTATTGCATATATATTTTGCATATATATTTTGCATATATGTATAATCCTGTGATCTGGTTGGTTCCGAGAGAGGGTACTATACTGCTCTTTCAGTCGATTTACGGGCTTTATTGACCCAGGTGTGTGGTCTTATGAGAAGGCGGGAAAAGCCTGTTAAATCACAAGCCAAAGAAGAGTGATTTACTGTGTTCCACCAAAATCCCAAGAAGGTTATTATTTATCAATTAGGAATTAATTATTCATCCATAAGAAGTGCTCTCTATTGCTATATTGACCTTGCAGGATAACTTTGGGCTTATGATTTAATTATATTTACGTTAACAGATCGAAAAAGTGGAGGCCAAGGGCGAGGATGCCCCACCTAAGCCAACCGGCTTTACAGAGCTGGAAAGAACCTATATTGCCATAGGGATTGCCTGTGGGATTTTGGCCGTCGTTGTTTCAATAACCATAATTGCGGTGAGTAAAGACTTTACGCCATCTGTCCTCACTCCCTGTCTTTTCCTTTTTCTTCTCCCATGAAACCCTCCATTCTTCAGCCTGTTCCTCTCCCTCCTTCAACTACTTATCCTTCTTCCTCTTCTTCTTCTCCTCCACCATTCTCCTCTTTCCTCTTCCTTCTGCTTTCCTCCTCTTGCCTTTTCCTCCCTCCTTCATCCTTTTATCCTCTCCGCTCCTCTCCGCTCTTCTCCTCTCCTTTCCTCTCTTCTCCTCTCTTCTACTCTCTTCTCCTCTCTTCTCCTCTCTTCTCCTCTCTTCTCCTCTCTTCACCTTTCTTCTCCTCTCTTCTCCTCTTTTCTCCTCTCCTCTCTTCTCCTCTTTTCTCCTCTCCTCTCTTCTCCCTCCCCCTTTACGCTCCACTCTGCATCTTCTTTTTCCTTTTCCTTCTCTTCCACCTCCCCCTCCCGATGCCTTTCTTCTCTACATCTTTCCTGTCTTATTCACCTTCGTCTTTTCCTTGTCTCCCTTCATCTCCTCGTTCTTCCTCCTTCCCTCTTCTCTCTCCCCCATATTTTCTTCGTCTTCCCCTTAGTCATTCTTTTCGAGATCTTTGTCCTTTTCCTCCTTCTTTTACAGTACTGTGCAAGAGTAATACAAACGATAATCGCCGATTATCACGAAATAGCTATCTATCCTCCTCGATATATCCAGCCCGTAGATTTATCACTTGACGGCCTTAATTTTTTTCCTCGTGTAAAAATTAATTCCGTTATTCATCAAGTCCTCCATTTATTTGATTAATTGTTTATTAATTCATTTAGTACCTCGTCAAAAATAAAAACAACGGAGGTAGAACTGACGAAAATAAGCCTACACGTGAGTTCATTGAGGAAGAGAAAAGACTTCGTACCAGCTCACCTCTCGATGTAAGTTATTTTCTGCTTCTCAACAAATGACGTACCGGTAACATGCACAGAAAAATTAAGTTGCCTTTTTCTAAAATTCGCCACATCTTTGGAGTGCATGGGTAATAAATACGAAAAGGAAGTAAGACAAGTGGAAAAACATTTGTATAGCGAGGTCTTCTTCTTTTCTGAGGAACTCCTGCACAGGGCGGGGTACAACACAGATCGATATCGTCAAGTCTCCAAAGCTGGGTGAGAAAGAGACGAATAATAAAACATAAATCTTGCTTTTAGCTGATTTACTTCTGCCTTGTGTTTGTATCATATGTTCTATTTCTTTACATCGGTTTTTCTGAGCAATGAATGATCAGAGGTGAACGAAAGAACAGCTACCAGAAATAAATCTCCTCCAAAACTGCATTGTCCGTCTATCGCTCTCTGTATCATAATTGATAAGCTGATAAGATAATAATCGTCATGATAACGACGAAGACGATGACGATGACGACGACAATGCTGATAAACGAAAGAGTCAGATCATAACTCATGCTATTATTTCTCTTTTCCTTTCACAGATCAGTGAAACAAAGTTTTAATGTTCATTTTTGCACAGATGTGTTCTGCTACGCCTACAAGAGATTAGTGTGCTAAAGAACTGATAAACGAGTCATTTCTTCGTTTACTACTGTTCATAATCTTGATCCAGATTCAATTCAATACACCTGCAATTGATTGCTATAACGCATTGCTTTTTGTAGTATTTCTTCGTCAACGCGCGAACACTTTTCATGGCCAACATTGTGGTCAAAGATCCAACCCAGATATATTAGGACTCGCGTCTCTTGAGTCTCACGAGTTCTAGATGTAGAAAACTGTAGATAAGAAAGGACATCTGGGTAAATTCCTCGATTCAATGTCCTAGACAAGTCTGCCCAGGTCCATCACTAATATTTGCGTTAGCACTGTTTCTAAAAGTGCACAGCGGAAAGGAAATAGAATTGAGTTTCCAGTAAAAGGGTGGGGGTATTTAAAGCTTGTTTGAAGTTGCACTTGGCATAATAGTCCACAGTACGTGAGTCTTTACTTTTATGTTCACGCGTAAAGTTTCATAATCTGATTACATCTTTTAGTCAATAATCATAACGATATACTCACCAGTTTCCCTAACAATTCAGTGTTCTTATCCACGGTGGAATGTAGTTTCTTTACTAGCTATAAACAGCACTCCTGGATGAGCCAGTTCTTATTTTACGAGAATGAATTACCATTCGTTTAGAAGATACGTGAAAGCTGACGATGAAAGTGGAGCTCAAAGCATTAACTATTCGTAAATGTTGTTTTCGTACGGGTTGTACAGGTTGTACGCAACAGCCGGCCGTCTGACAACAGTTTGTGTGTAAGTGTTTATTCCCAGTGCAAGGTTACTCCAAAAGGTGTAAATATAAAACCATAGTATAGTGCTCAATGACACAATTAAAGGGTAGTCGTGTTCTGCTAATTCAACTATCAATCTCATATATCGACGATGAAAAGGGAAGACGAACCCCTTTAAAGGTCGTTTTGGTGCGTCAAATTTCATGATATTGATCAAATAAGCAGCAAACTTGGTTTAAACTCATTGTATAGCTGTAAAATTTACAAACAACAGTTTCTCAAATAAAAGTAGTTGGGCAAGACTATTTATTTATCTATATATTTATATTTTTTTTGTACTCCTTAGCTTGACATACCCGTCTCATTTTAGCACAAAGTTTTGTGTAGCTATGGAGTAACTTCTAACGCACACTCACTTTAGCTTCTGTTGACATCTTAGTGCTTTGTCTCGTAATTCAAGCCCTTCCAACAGGCCGGCTGAGATAAAACAATCGATACTTATGATCATTAGCCCTTATCGCATTTGTGTCTGCAATGCAAAGGGTCCGCGGAGTTACAGTTTCAGGACGAGGCTATCGGGTCAACGTTTCTCGAGAAACACCAGAAACACTCGATGTCTGACCATATAACTCTGGAATCGGCGTTTGTTTCTGCCGTGGAAAAGGTTAAAATTCATAGTGGTAATTGCCCTGGCATCACGAAAGGAATATTGAAAGAATGGCTGTTATTTCGGAAAGTAACGGCAAAATTTTGTCGCGTTTGTTCATGCATATGACTACGGTTGTTGTTCCTTTGTCGGCCTTTTTGAGGTTTAACTCAGAGTCGCGTTTCAAGGCCCTCAGCGCCTTACGTTCGGCGGGAAGCAAATTATCTTTTGGCTTTATAATTTATATTTCTGAAAGGCCACTTTTAACCTCTTCTAAATAGCTTTCAAGGGCTCCTGTTTTTGTATTAGTAGTATCCATGTACATTTGACGTGGCAGGGATGGGTTTTTTTTTTCCTCCCCTCGGAATATGTAAATCAGACGCATTCTCCTTGCGAACTGATCAAAGTCACACAATAGTTGTTGTCTGATCTGTTTTTCTTTTGTAGCGGGTGTTGGAATGAATTTAAGCCCTTTTGTCAGTAAATTGATCTGATCGTTTCTAATTTCTTTATTTGAGAGGTTTTTTATGTGCGTTTTGTTCGCTTCTAGTTTGATAGTTGAACGTGTTTGGCAAGACCGCGGTTTCGATCCTAATCTTGTGGATCACGTCAGTTGCCAATTCACTGAATAAACTGTTACACCCGTACGCAATACAATGTCGAACCATAACGAGAACAGGCTGTATCCTTAAGAAAATGAATAAAAATGCCTCCAAACGTAGCCGTTTGCTTCGATTTTACTTGAAAATTTTATCTGTGTGACCCGATAGCCTCGTTTCGAAACTTCAAAGTCCGCTGAGTTCTCGTACAGTGGGCGTAAATGCGATAAGGGCTGATCATTGACTGACTGACTGAAAAAAAAGGCATTTGGTGCTAATGGCGATCACGTGGTGGGCCTCGTTTGGGTATCCCCATTTCGCAATATCTGGGCTTTTTTTTTCTATATAGAATCCCAACACTCAGATCGCTGGACTTTCCTTCAGCAAATTAACAGAATTCACTGAAACGTAGCGATAACTCCCGATGAAAGGAGGTCGGGCTTTTATCAAATACTCCTCAAGCACTCGTTTACATGCTAAAGTTATATTTATATAGCTATGAGACGTTTTGTAAGGGAAAGAAACTGTTATTCTTTTCAAACATCACACAAACAAAAGTTGCATAAAATCGATAAACATATGGCAACATGTCTGTTCTGCTCAGTTTTATGAGCGGCTTAACAATGAAATATGGCACAGACTGGCGACATAATGCATAACGAAATATGAATTTTGAAAAAACACCTTGCGCTGTTTTTTTTTTTTTTTTTGATTAACAAAGGACGAAAAATATATCAGGCTTCCGTCGCAAAATAATAATAACTCTGTGGGGGCGGGGGGGAGGGGGTATATCACAAATTCGCATTTTCAAAAACAATCTTTTTTGCCATATTTTTCCTTCGCCAATTAAGTGGCTATCGTGCTGCTATCAGTTTAAGCCGCAGGTTTCCATACTAAACACAGAGCTTTGTTGGTATCGACTGTGCCTTTAATCTGTCAAGTTTTGGTTATATCGTTCTCCCGCCAAAGGAGAACCAATCACGGCCACGCCGCTTCAGTTGCATGGAAAGTTTTACGCCTGATGTTGGTGACTATCGTGTGTTTGGAACGAATGCACCCAGAGTAAGGAATACATACGTTTTTAAATTTTCAACTGTGTAATTACAATGAGGTACGTGTTTTTTTTCTTCTTTCTTTTCGCTTATTTCTGCCCAGGACCCGAACACGGATTTGTAGAGTGTTAAGTAGTGACTAAGGCTGGTACGCTTGTTGACATGCGGTAAAAAGTTACGTTTATTGGAACTTCTTTAATTTTATGCGATCAATCTATTCTATCACGTAACATTAAACCTCTCCACCAGAAACTCTAATTTGCTCAAAATGGCATTTTAAATGCATATGCCACTGTGCGCCGTTCGCGACTGATGTAGATGGCTTCGTTCGCTTTCCTGATCAAATTGTTCGACTCCAACAAAACTAAGTAACGTCGAATCGAATAAACCTGTTCCCATGTAAAGGATGATGTTTCAGCTACGAGGGTACGTTTTTTTTTTTGGATTGGAATCGAATTTTCAATTCAGGCACGAATTAATTATGAACTACATCTTTTACATGTTTTATCAACAATTAATCGCTTCACGGTAGGTGGCCATTGCTTTGGGTAGCGCTGAATTTCAATAATTCGAGCCCTATCTCAGTTATGAAACCCTTTTTTTTTTTTTTAATAAAACAAGCCCTTTACTTTGAACTCTCGTATTTACATGCACTTTTATTAAAAAAAAAAATGTCCTTCAATTTCTTTCTTTTTTTTCTTATCAAAGGCGATCTAAAAAAATTGAATTAAGGTCAGTTTCGTTAAGAAATTTATTTCTCAATTGCCAAAAAAGAAATATAACTTCTATAGTGCCTATACCTTAAACTGCCTTAGCGTTTTAAATTATTAATACCTTAAAAATAATGCAATTTCTATCACGCTAACACCTTTTACTGCGAGAACGCCTTGAATTATCATTACATTGAAAATATATTCCTGCAAAAAGTGTACATTCGAATTAAGCATAGATCAAATCCTTCAAGGCAGATTAGCTACTTAAAGTTTAAAGAATTCTTGAAATAGTATATAGCTATCCACATAAAGATGTTTCATCTACATAAAATTTTAATTTTTCAGCAACTCCTTTAACTAAGCCTCTTTCGAGACTTACCTCATTGAAAAAAAAAAAAAAAGAAAAAAAACAGGACATCACTTAGCCGACGCTTTCTTTTGGTGACATTATCCTACAAATAGTTTCCTGCAAGAAGTACGCTAATTATTTTTTCCTTTTTTTGTGTGTGATGTACATCAGGATTTAAACAGTATATTGTTTACATGGTGTTCACTTTTGCGTTTATACTTTCAAGGAGAAAAAAAAAACATAATTTGTTGACGTCAATGCAAAAATTGTTAGAACGGCTAAAATGGATATTACAGAACAAGTCTATTCAAATTTTACAAGTCTTTCAATCGTAATTAACGTATGTAATTTACTGCTGTAAACAAACATTTATGGTTGTTAAGGTTCGAAAAACAAACAGAAGTAGTGTGTCAACTTAACTGCATTGTTCAATATAAAAAACTTGTACGTGACACAATGACAAATGTACTAAGCGTTTTTTTTTTGCCATTCAAGTTTCATTTTGTCCACGCATAACGTATAGTTCCGTGCTTAAGGCGCAGCTTGATATTTAACCAAGAAGAAACGCTAGCTTTTATAGCTTCTCATTTCTTTAGCGATTATTGCAAGCTTTTCCCTGAACTTAAAGCATAATCCCCGTTGAGAATAGAAAAATGAAAGGATTGCATCAAGAAAGGATCTAAAGCTGTTTCCCCCTGAATGCGAAAAATTGATCCGGTACAATGGGACATTTTTAACTTCAAAGAAATATCATTTACGGAAGTTTCACACCATCTGCCGACACAAGAACCACACACTCTACGATGTAAGTTACGTTGACATCTTTCAAACCTAACCTAAACTGCGCGTGGAAATGTACTTTTACAAACGAACTCATTTATTTTTATTCATTGGTTTTTTTGTTTAGACGTACAGTCAGGCACACCGTCATTCAACTTATTAGTTACGTAACGTTCCCCGCCGTTTCCCACGAGGACCAAGAGTTTTCCAGCCTCTATGATTTGTAGATTTTACATGGAAATCTATTGACTCCTTTCGAATCATTTTAGAATTTTATTTCAGGCTTATTTTCATGAGGTTGTTATCTGTTGGCAGGTGATTGCGCAGAAGCGAATGCTTCGCTAAAAGGCGAACAATGGTGTTCATTTAGCGGATCTTAGCCCCGGAAGTTGTTTTGACATTATTCCTTTTAACCGTTTATTAAGATAATCAATCAGACTTCGAATACAGTTGTTCCAAGCGAGGATGTCCCAATCAATTGTTGCGTTCCCTCTGTTGGGCGGATAACTATGGAAAAATCGAGGGTTCCGAATGATGCACGTTTGTTTTGGGCTTCATCCGCAGGAACTAGTTCGAGAACACTAGTTTTTGATGCATTTTTTCCTATCATCAATTTCAAAACGCTCATGAAAACGGATCCTTTCGATAACGGTTTAAAAAGTGAAGTTTATGAAAACGCATGGTTTTTTTCTTTCTTTTTGTAATTTATTCATCAATGTTTTCTCGTTTCCTTGTTTTCTATTTTCTCTGTTTTACCTTTTCGTTGCCCCGTCTTTTGTATGATGAGGTGAGAATGGAGGTCTTTGAAATAGTAGAAAAATGTGTCACATATTGTCATTTCCATTTGCGTTTTCCGATGTCTTAGTGTGCACGATAGACAAAAATGCTTTGTGATTTTTTTTAATGAAAATGCAGTATTGTGGATAGAAGAGGGTCAGTATCAAAACGCTTTAATTGGAAAAACCAAATATCTTCATTTTGCTTGTGAAACGGATACTTCTGAAGGCATTATTGAGGTCGGAACCTAGCAGAAGGTTATATGTTGTCTGTTCCATAATAAGCCCGCTGAATTCAGGGTCTCCTTTCACTTAATCAGCTCTAAGAAAACACAGTTGACTTAAATAAGGATGTCGTAGAAAAATAGCAAGCTTACCGAACAAGACAGAAATTAACACTATCCTTAAGAGAAAGCGCCCGTTCTTCCACCTGAACAAACTCACTAGGTTAGTTTTATAGAAAAGGTCATGGCAGTGAAATAAAAATGAAAAAAAAAGAAAGAAAGAAAATGCACCCGACTTTTATTAGTTGGTCAGCCACTTGCTTAGTCAGATGGTCCATGATTCATTGCAATATCTGCGATCTAATGGTTTACATTTAAAAGGAAGGCCTGGTAGTGCAGTCCACTTTAAGCTTCTACAAGAGCAATCAAACAATTTTAGTTCTTCGTGGTACCTTCGTCCTCATACAAACTATCAACATTTGCCGGCGTACGCAGGAAATGCTTACGGTGAACGAAGCCAATTGTGTTTACTGACATCTTTTAGAGTTTACTTTGTCCTCCAAGTAAAAGGACTTACGCATGTATACTCTTTAATCATTTACGACTCGATTATTTATACCAAAATGTACAGTAAAGCGAACACTTTAGAACATTCTGTGCTGCTTTCAGAAGTTCGACTCGCCGCTAAGTCCTGCTCAACCTCGAATATGACTCGATTGGGAAAACTTTTCAATCACTTTTGACTGTTGTTTTGCCGCCCATGCTTTAAAAAGGCTGTAAAAACTTCAAGAAAATGTTTAAATTACACTGTAAAATAGGCCGAGAGCGCTTGGTATGAAGGAGAACACTTTCAAGGTAAGATAACACGATGGTTCTTGATGTTGAGCTATTCTTAATACTGCTGCGACAATTTTTATTTACCATTTCAACTTTGTTGATATATCCAGATTATTTCGTTACCCCCACCGACGCAGCCCCTAACAGTTTATTTAGAAACTATCAGACTTTATTCATTTGAATTTTGATATCGGTTGTACTCTATAAAATCGTCGACCTCTCAAACTGCGAATTGACGACTAAGATCAAGCCAAACCAGAAAAAATTGTAACACTGATGTAAAAATATGGCATCTACATAGTAATTATTTCTGTTGTAAAATATCTTAGACTGCTTTTTCAACTCAGTTAAAACTTACAATATATGAAACATTTGAATCCGAAGAGCTGTTTTTTTTGTTTTAAATAAACTTTGTGATGCAAGCAAACATTATTACGTAAGTAGAACAGTAATAAGACTATTTTAAACGCGATGCTAAACTACAAGCTGCTTTCAATTCTTCTTATTTTTTTGTGCAGGGTCAGGGTGTAGTTTAAATTGTAAGAATCAGTTATTTCCTAGTCATAATCATATATGCTGTACATTATTTCATAGTATAATCATATATACTGTACATTAACACTATAAATGATGCCGGCTATGTTTTGTCTCTGCCATTAAAAAAATGACAGTTCCAGCGCTCAACAAGCAAATTTATTTGAATTGCTTTACAGAATATTTTTTACAATTCATGTATAGTAATGCAGAAATACGCCGCTATTTTTTTTCATTTCAGAGGGTTTTTTTCTCCGGTTTCGTGATGAAAACATAACCCATTATCGGCAGATTTAGCGCAATTTAAGTCCTAGTCCATTAGCAGTCTTCTTTTGAAGAGTCGCGGCTCTTTTGTTTTGACGTTCTTCTAAGAGGGCAGCATTTTACCACACACCACATCCGGCTTCTTATATCTGCGACGTATGATCTACTCCATGGTGGTATTTGAATTTGATCAGCAAAATAACAATTAATTGTGACAGAGGGTATATTAAAACCTCAAAGAACAACTAGATGTAATCGGGCGCACGAACGATTGATTTTACTTCTACGAGCGAACCTATAGTACAGATGGATGAGATAGAATTTGTTCCTCGTAATGATTTTGATTCATCAATGCACGAGATCCCTCAGAAATACATAACTCCTCTCGTGCGTCAAATTAGACGACAAAATTACCAATTAAAGCTAACTGTCAGATCATAAATTTGTCTGTGATTAGACTAGTAACTTCAAAAAGATTTTTCGGACATCTGATACATTAGCTTCAATGTTTGAAGTCTTCAATGTATAACCGGGCGGATTTCTATTTTTACAACCTAAATGTGAAGTGAGAAAAGAGAGGACGTCTTAAAAAAAAAATCCTATTTTTGTACAAAAGTAGACTTGGAATCTTTATTCGTCTTAAGATCTACTTTAACATCCTACACAGATTTTCGTCATACCCCTCAGAAGAAGACAGGAAAAATATTAGTTTCACCACAGAAATCGTTTTTCATTTTTTATGCTCAAATTCTTTAATTTCTTTACACCTAATGAATTATCGTGACGAGTTATCTCAATTCTTTTGGCACTCTGGTTTCTGTCCCATGTGCTACGCCTGTTTAATCCGAGTGATTTGCCTTGTTTACCTTAAAAAATAATTCTTCAAAGCCTCAGAGCATAATCGCCTCAGACTCAATTTATCTCCAAGATAAATAAAAACACCATCCATTACAAAAAGGCCTTTATATAGTAGTATTAATTCACGGAATATTTTGCCTTCCAGACAACAGTGAGCTTAAGGCAAGACTGCGGGCAGAGTAAAGAAAGAACACATCCAAGATAGCGTTAGGAGCTTGTGCACAATTTTTTTTTCCGTGACCACACAAAATGGACATCTTCAACACCACGGAAACCAACCATTCAGCAGAGGAAATACTCATCCATACCTTAGCTGGCGCAGTGACCTCATCGACAGTTTCTAAAGTCTTTAAAATAATGCCATTAACTTTAGTAATGCTGGCATCGCTTGTAGGAAATTCCATCGTCGTTCACGCAATCTATGCTGATATTCGGATGAGAACAGCAACCAACGTTTTGATTGCGAGCCAGAGTGTTGTGGATCTTGGCACAAGCGTTTTGGTTATCCCTTTCGCCCTAGTATCTGTTGGCTGCGATGGGTGGATTTTTGGGGTTGAGTTTTGCGCTGCGAATGGATTCTTCAACTTGTACTTCACGCAGATAACTGTCCTGCAGCTGGTTATTATTGCATTTGACAGGTATTTGGTGATTGTCAAACCCTCGTGCCGTGCAATAAATCTAAAGGATGCCATAAAACTAACTTTGGTAGCTTGGATAGTCAGTTTCCTTGGATCATTCCCATGGCTTCCCTTACTAACCAATCATGTGCAAGTGGTATATTTTCATGGTTTCTACGTGTGTGCCAAACGTTATTCTCATCCTGTTCTTGGCGCTCAATTGTTTTGTGTGATTTTTGTGATAACAGTTTTCGCAGTCCTGCCGTTGTTTTTCATATTTTACAGTTATTACCGCATAAACAGGGTTATCCACTTAAACAAACATAGAATCTCCCCCGTGTCTCTATCGAACGCTCAGAAGATGGCGATCAACGTTTACGCGAAGTCAGCATCTACATCAAAAATTGTGATCGGAACAAGTCTACTTCAAGTTTTCCCAGCGTGCTTTATGATGCTATTGGACGGTTTGCAGGTTGATCCTTTTCCGAATGATGTCAAAACGGCTGCTAAGTGGATAATGTGGTGCCACTGTGCAGTTAAGCCAATTATATACGCGACGAAAAGCGGAATGTGGGCGAAAACTATTCGTAAATACCTTTTGGTGTTTCCGTTGTTCTCAGCATTGTCTAGAATAGATTTAAAACTGGCATCTCTCTCCAAAGTCGCGGATCGTGTCAAAAAATATGGACTTTCACGACGAATGAACTCTGTGGAAAGAAAAGAAAATGATACAGCTGAAACATTGCAACATAACTCTCAGGAAAGGACTCAAAGATCAACCTGGCTTCATAGCATGAAAAACGCTTGGCAAGTTGATGAGCAAAATGATTTTTGCGAGTTTTAATACACGAGAATGTATGACATTTTGGTGCAATATGTAATCGGTAACAATCGCTTGATATTCAATAATAATAATAATAATAATAATAACTTTTATTTATATAGCGCTCAAATCCTGAGCTCATGGCGCTTTCACAACACTGTGCGGGGGACTTCACCAGACTGCTAAGCAGTTCACAATCAATTTAAGGCGAATCTAACAGATGCCCCCTCCCCCCAATGCCCAGTAAACAGCCCAGACCACATCACAGTAATCTCGTGAGTGGGTTATTTAACGTCCCCTGCCTAACCAAATTAACTAATTTATAGATGCAGGAGACGGGACCTACGGTTTATTCGCCCTTATCCGAGAAGACTTGAATGTCTATCCATTTATTGATGTTATAGAAAGGTAGTGCATTCTCCTCAGCTATTTTAAGACGTTGAGTGTTGGTTCGGCCGGGGCTTGAACCCTCGAGGCTCCCGCACAACAGTCCGGTGCTTAACCAATTGAGCAACAGTAAAAATCCGCATACAAGAACATGTGGATTAAGAACACCCAGGCTGAAATTTGTTTAAAAAGGAGCATATATATAAGAACACATTCAGCCTGAAAATTGAAAATTGTTCTTATATATAAAAACTCTTCCCTTTTCAGTTTAATAGAACAAACAGTGTCTGTTTACTGTGGTATTGCACTAAGATCTCTGTATAAATGCTAGTAATTTCACTTGCTGCGTATAGCAAATGTACAACAACTGTATTTGGAATTAATTTTCTCTCAAAGTTATGTATTTCATCATAGTTAGTAAATTCCTTGCATTTTTTTTAAAAGTAAAAAAGTAAGAACACTTGAGAACACTTTCAGGCTGATTTCACCTAAAATACCCGATATATAAGAATCCAATCAGCCTGAACCCCGAGAATGGGTGTTCTTGTATGCGGGTTTTTACTGTAACCGGGAGGCGGTTTGGAATGGTTTGGGCTGAAGTGGCAACAGCTTTCCCGAACAGAAAATTTTAGCAAGCCGGAGTTTTCGCAGTAATTCCTGGGGCTTGTGGTTACCAGACTTCTCTTCATTCAAAACGGTTGCAGGAACACAACATGGCGTCCGTTTCCTGCTACGTTCTATCTCTACTTTCTTATGTAGAAGACACTGTACTGACGACTGAGGTCTCATGATGGACTAGTCTGATCAGCAACGTTGTTATTAGAGCTAGAACAGATGTCTGCTGTTTGGATTTGAGGACATGTGGAGTGGACCACGTCTTAATTTAAAAGCCTTCAAAACGAAAGCACTCACCATCTCTCTTTTAAAACTGTATCAACCTGGTCCTGTACCGGTTAAAAAGTTTATCTGTCAGATTATCCGATAACAGTTTTGTCTTGATGGAAAACTGAAAACTTAACCTGTCCAAAAAAACCTTTAACTACTTATCCCAATAAAGGACGAGTTCAGGGCGAGTAAAACATAAGGCCTCCATAAGCGACAGTTTTCTCAAACACAGTGTTGGATCAAGACCTGGCGGGTGAAGTGCCTATCTACACTTGGGAGGAGACCCCTGAGGGTTTAACTGTTGGGAAAATATGACAAGACAGATTGACATACATTATTGATATTTTTATATACATTTTACGAACAATCCAATACCGGCCCGCAAAATAGCAAAAGTTTACTTTACAGAGTGAATCTCGTGGTGAGTAGAACATACGTGACAAGGCAGGAGTCGATATGAGAGTCAATGAGTAACAACTGAGTGAGTTCGCCTCGGCTACGTGACAATGAAATAATAATATAAAAAAAGGAACCGACAAGTATTTCAAGAAGTTACATCTCTCCTAAAGACGATCAACCGCTCTCGATTAATATTCCACATTTGCGAAAACATTTTTCACGAAAGACAGACATTTCACTCATTCCGAAAATTTTTTCACCCTCACGGGGTGAACGCAACTCCTCCGGGAATATGTCTTTCAAGCTCATTCCCATGATCGAACTGTGGAATGATAGATGACCGTAAAAGGTCGAAATCTAGAATTCAGGGAAAATTCATAGAGACTGCAATGTTTACAAATACCGGAAGTCACGCATCATACTGACCCGTGATTGGCTTATTTACCGTTTAGTCGCAGGGACTGGTCGCACAAACAGTTCACACGAGGGGACAAACATTTGTTTCATGCGACAAGTCCCTGCGACTGGTCGCACGAATTCAAACAAGTTTGAATTCGTGCGACCAGTCGCAGGGACCAAATTTTGGTCCCTGCGACCACAGAAATGTGTAGTTCACACGAAGGGACTAGTCGCATGAAACTGGTCGCTGGGACTAGTCGCAGGGACTAGTCCCCTCGTGTGTGCCGACCTTAATAGTCCGAGCGCAATACCCCCAGGCTCAACTCCTCAGTAGTCACAAACCGCATCGATATTTTGCAGTTAATCAAAGGAAACTAATAATTGAAAAGTTACATCACTCCAGAGAAGAAATTTGTGACCTTTCCCTTCCAAGATGTTCATCATCATGTGTAATAATCAAAATGGGTTACGTCACGCAACATTTTTTTTAATGAGGAGCGACTGAAGTGCATAATCAACACCTGTGGTAAGTAAATATTTAATCTGCATTTTTTTTTTTTTTAAATTCCCAAAAGGCTCAACCGGAAACCGGAAATGAGACTAACTGTGGAACCCGTGCTCAAATTTTCGCGCCAGTCATCAGAATAACTTGGCATAAGTGATTGTCGCGCCGAAGGAGCTGCAACTCAAAATCTGTGGTCGCTTGCTAAAAAGCGAATAACTCGACTTGCTTTAAGAGAACTGAAATGGAGAGGGGAGAAGGTGATAAGAGATGTAAGGCGTGGAATATTTTGGCTTTTTCATTTTTCAGGATAAATTAAAGCAATGGAATGTTGTCACGAAAAAATTCGACGATGAAAAGCGAGAAACCCGTGCCACGCAAAACTGTGATGAGTCAATATTTACACAAGAACTTTGGTGATTCTTGGAAAAGCTATTCACCATAGAGATGGTGTGTTCTTCAGTGGAGCGACTAACTCCTTTCGTGGTTTACGAAAAGTTAAGTGTTTCTGCGATATTTCTTCCAAATGATTTTGCTACAACTGAGTTTGACTTTATGTTATCCAGAGATGTCCTCATTGATGCGTTTGAGATTACGATGAAAGTTACCGAGATGGAATGTTTGGATAAACACAGCAAATCCGTCAGAGGTCTGAAACCTGAAAATGTCCAAGGCACAAATGGCATTGAAGGCTTGTTTTTGGTGGACCTTCGCAAATTTCCTCGTGACTGAATTTTGGCTAGCGCAGACGAACGCGAGGCAAGCGTGAAGGAGAGATGGGGTTCCTTTGCGAGAGGAGGAGCACAAGAAAGAAATATGTTTTTTTGTTTTCTGGTTTTGTTTTTGTTTATTTTCCACGCTTCCACTCTCGCGCGTCATTCGCCATTCGCGCTGCCATAACACTCGCCCACGCTCATCGAAAACAACGCAAACAAAATGATTTGCAGTGATACTTTTGTTAGGCCTCTTCTTATGTGGAGGAAACAACGACTCGGTTGTGGCATAGGTTTGGCACAAGAATCGATTCATGTTCACAACAGCGGAGGTAAGTTTTTCTAGATAAATATGACCCAGCAGCTATACAATCTTCATTGCGCGTGTTCGTCAGCAGCAAACGCCATCAAGAGATTTCGTCCTGCGCTGCAGTTTATTAGAGCTCATCAGAGTTTTCATCAACGCAAATTTGATTCCGCTGTAACATTAAAATTAGAGACCTTATGGGAAGGGGAGGGAGTGACTAGTCCCGGCGACAAGTCTTT